GAAAAATAAAAATTATATCCAAAAATCTTAAAAGTTTCATTTTAATTGAAGAATAATGTTAAATAATTTATTATTGCTATTATTCAATATTACTACCTGTGTTTCGTTTATGTCAATGTTTTGAAAACAAGCATAAATTATTATTTGAAGGCATCAATTTCTTTAAAAAAAAAAATTTTGCAAATTTTTATTTTAGAAATTCCGTTACTGGAAAACCATCGGTAGTATTTGCGATGCAAAATAATATGACCGAAAAAAAGGATGTTTGCAATGCTGACAGTACTCAGGAGACTAATGAATTTCAGGTATCGGTTGTCAAGATTTAAATTCGACAGTTTGGTAAATAGTAAAATTAGCATAACTAAAGTATTGTAAAATTTTAGCACATTTTATGTAATTTAATAGAGCCAAATTGTTGCTAAAATAGGTCAAAAATATGGTGAAAAAACACAAACATAGTGAAATAAAATGAGAGAAGATTGATTAAGGATGATTAAACAGTAAATTTGGCAAAAGTTGTCAAATTTTACAAAATAATCTTATATTGTTGTCATATATATGGATAAGAAAAAAAAAGCGAAATATAACGTTACAGTTTAATGGTAGGGAGTAGTAAGATTTGTAAAATTACAATAATTTTAAAATTAAAATTACATCTACAATAAAGGATCTAAAATGATTTAAAAAAAAAAAATTGTAATTTAAAATTGGTACAAAATTGATTTAAAAAATTGCAACAAATATATTCTATGAATGAAAAATTGATGAAATTTACATTTTTCTCCTTGAGATATTAATTTCAGAAAAGTACAAGCAAATTATTTCAGTGTCAACAAGAAAGTGATGTATTTGAGCATGATCATATTTACGGTTCACCGTCAGATGTTGCGTTACTTCGTTATGTGGAAATGTTTTCATCGGTGGAGAAAACTCGAATGAATTACATTGTAAGTAAGCAGTAATTTCACTTAAAAAAAAAAAAAAAGTTTCAAATGGTTGTTTTTTTTTCGTATTCAAATTATAAGAGATGTAGGAGATGTTTGAAACAGAAAATTATGTTTTATCAAACATTTTTTCAATTTCTTTATCAGTTCTGTATATATAATTATATTATATAATATAATAATGTATAATGTAATAAGATATATAATCTAACAATGAATAACGATTAATGCATTAATTTATTTAACTAATGAATTTTTCAAAGATTGCAAAGAAGCTATAAAAAATGAGTAAAAAAAAGTTTTTTACAGACAGTTCTTGATATGCCATTCAATTCGGTTCGTCGATATCATTTGGTGATAGCACGTGATGTTACGGAATTATCGGAAATGGAAAAAGATAAGAAAGCTATGAGTGAATCAAATGATGGTGCTATTTTTATAATGATGATTAAAGGTGCACCGGAAGTAGTCCTAAAATATTGCAACTATCTTCAAGTTGATAAGGAATGTTTGCCAATTGATGGAAAACTTCGTCAAGAGTGCCAGGTGAACGCTCAAACGTAAGTAATGTAAACAACAAACGTTAAGCAAAAAATAACGAATTTTTCAAGTTAATCAAAAGTTTGTTTTCCTTTTCTCTTTATCATTTCTTAATTTTTATATTCTGGCAAAAATGAAGGAAAGTTTTCAAGAGAAACAATATATACAAATAATATTTTTGCAACAAATATTTGAATTTATTTCATTTAATTATTCGTGTTATATGAAATGTTTAATTTTTGAAAATTTAATTTTAGGCTAATTTTACACTTTATATTTTAATAACGAAAAAGAATAGTTTCCTAATTTTTGTTTTACAAAAAAGTTTCATTCAGGTAGCGTGGGAACATTTTGGAAATGAAGGAAAAAGAGTTTTTGCATTTGCTATAAAGCGTTTTTCCAACAGTGATGCAAATGCTAAGTTTACATCTGCTGATATTGTATTGGAAAATTTAATATTTTTAGGAATGGCAGCGCTAATTGATCCACCGAGGTAAGCTTTTGTTTTTTATTAATATTCAAATTTTTGCTGAGAAATATACCAAATTATTTGTTGATTTAACATGAAATGATCATATTTTTGACATAGAGAAAACAAAATTTTAGAAGAAAATATTTCTTTATTTTTAAAACTTTCAGCATCACCGGTTTTTTTTTAAGGGATGACGCAGCAAATGCAATAAAACAATGCAAAGAAGCCGGTATTAAGGTTTATATGATTACAGGTATGATATTAGCACTTTTTTTGAATTCCATTCCTAGTCATTAATTAAAACAATCAAATAAATGAATTGTGGTACAAAAAAAACTATTTAAATGAACTGAAGTTAGTATGGGATGATCATCCGATTGATATATCATCCATTGTTTTGCTAAACCTTGCATAAATAACGTTTGAATTTTAGGCTTATTTTCCGACTTCAATATTAATCTTCAAAATTATTGGCTACCTATGAATTCGTTTAACTGATTCTTTATTTTAATTAAAAAAATTGCCACTGCAAGATAATTGATAACACTCTAATTTTAATTGATTATTATCGATCAGTTGTAAAAGATAGATAAATCAAATTTTATTTGGTCAAAGGAAAAAAAGGAAAATAGGTAATTTTTATTAATATCATAGGTGATCATCCGACAACTGCGGTTGCAGTGGCTCGAAAAATTGGATTTATTGGTGGTGATGAAATGGTATGATTATATTCGGAAAATAATTTTAATAATTTAACCTTTCCTCTTCTTTTCCTTTGCTTTCCATAGCATCATTCATATTAATCAATTAAATTGATCACACTATATTGATTAAATCAATTAAATTACTAGTTACTACGGATAAATTAACTAAATTAAGCTATTAAACGTTTAATTATTATAATCAAAGTTAACATTTTTCAAGACGTTAATGATGTTGAAAAAAAGAAATTGAATTCAATTTTTTTTCATTATTGTTGTTAAATTTGAAATATTTTACTCCAAATTGTATATATCTTTCAAAACGCATATTATGCTACGAAAGATGTAAATGTATATATTCTCGGAAATATTTCAACCTTTTTTCTTTCCTTTATTTTCTTGCTTGTAGTGTTTTGCACTATAAGTATTTTTTCCAATCACTGTTAATAATTTTTATTTACATTCTTAACAGTTAATTAAGTATATTTCAATTTTTAGTTTTTATTGGTTTTTTGACAAAAATTTAACACATAGCTTTTTTTTCTTTTTTCTACCTGTAATCATACTAAAATGATATGAAAAAGTGACAACGGTAATGATAAAGTACGTAAATGTCAATTAACTAATTGATTGATTAATTATGAATATGCTAAATTATAGGCTGAGCCGAGCGGTCGTGATCATTTAAAATTAAGTGTAATTGGTGGTAAACAAATAAATTGGGGTATTGCAACAGGCGATGATTTGGATCGTTTGGATGATTGCGGTTGGAATGAATTGCTCAAAAAGAAATATATCGTTTTTGCAAGGTTAAAATATTTATAACAAATGAAAGTGAAGAAAAATGAAAAATGAGAAAGTTATAGTAATTATTTTTTTCGTTTTTAAGTTTCAATACACTACTAAAATTGTAAAATTTGATTAAAATTTAGGATAAATCCGTATCAAAAATTTCGAATTATTGAAGAATGTCAAAAACGCGGTGAAATAGTAGCTGTTACCGGTCAAGGTGTTAGCGACGCAAAAGCTCTGGCATGCGCTAATATCGGTATTGCTATGGGCATTACAGGTTATGAATATTTTCTATTTCTCTGAGAGAAATTGTTATGGAAAGGAAAAAAAAAAATGACTTCTATTATGTTATAAATTAATTAACTAAATGTACCAAAGCAAATGAAATTAATTCATATACATAAATTTTGCTTTTTAATATTGTTTTTAAGAAAAAAAAATTAAACTTGCACTGTTGGCTAGTTAATTAATTGAATTGAAATAATGATACTTATAAATATGCAACTATTTAATTTGTAATAGTGTTGTAAGAAAAAAAAGCTATTTATTCAATTTACTGTTTATTTTAGTACTTCTCAAATTTTATGTTATTCAAAACATTGAAAATATTTATGACATTCGCTTTCTTTACAATGATTGATGCGCTATTGGAAGTACATTTCATGTGGTAAAATGAGTAATTCTTTGAACTATCGAAGTTAAAGAGTCTATAATGATGAATTGACAATATCATGAATATCATACATTTAATCATAATAAAATCATGATTGAACGTATGATATTTGGTAGGTGTTTATTTATTAGAAAAATAAATTATTTTGATTTAGGTAGTGATATAGCAAAGCAGGCAGCAGATATCATTCTTATGGATGATAATTTTGCGTCAATCGTCAAAGGTATTGAAGAGGGACGTTTGTTATTTGACAATTTGCGCCTTTCAATTGCTTATACATTAGCTCATCTTTGGCCAGAAATATTTCCAATTGTCTTACAATTTATGCTTGGTTTGCCATTAGGATTATCAGCTTTACAGGTTATTGTTATCACTATTGCTATTATTTTTACCAATATTTTTACTATATTAAAGTCAAAACAGTTTAAAGAATTAAACCAACTAAAATAGCTTTTTTTTTAATTTGATGTTTTAAATATTATTTTCTACATAAACAGCTTCCTGTTCAGTACATAAGGAATAAATAAATAATATTAATCATAAATATAAATAATGATAAATGTTTATGTTTAAGCATAAAAGAGTGAAATTGTAATTTACATTGCTTCGATTTCTTTTTTACTATGTTTTTGGTGAAAAATTGTTTCAGATTTTAAGTATTGATTTAGCAAGTGAATTACCGCCATCGATCTCGTTAGCATATCAATCACCGGAAAGTGATATAATGCGAATTCCGCCACGGCATCGTAATGATCGCTTGGTATCTCGATCTCTTCTTATTTATTCATATGCTTTTATTGGTACAATCATTACGGTTGGATGTATTGTATCGTTTCTTTTTGTTTATCAGTAAGTAAATGAAATTATATTTCTTTTTGTTTCATTTTTCTTAACTGCTAATATGGTTGAATTTTTTTAGGTATTAAAAAAATATATTTATACATATTATTTAGATATCATAATATTGAATTAAGTGATTTACTTTTTACTGCTGATAATTATTGGTCCCGAGAATCGGAAAATTTAACAATCAGTAATGGAAATGTATTAACATCAACCGAGCAAGTATACATTAAAGGTCAAGCAGCAGCAGCATGGCAAATTACATTAGTAGTCTCTCAGGTGAATATTATATGCACTAATTGAATTTATAATTATTTGATTGAAATTTGAAATTAACAATAATGTTATACTTCGTTATAGTAGAATTCGAAATAAACATTACTAGTTTTTGTTTTTAGATTTTTCACTTATATATGTGTTCAACACGTGGAACGTCACTTTTTCGTCACGCTTCCACCAATTTAGTTTCCATCTTTGCAGTTATTATCGAAATTTTATTGCTCAATTTATTCATTTATACACCATTTGCACAATCTTTCATGGAAACTCAATCACCACCAAATGAGGTAAATTATTTTTCTTGAAAAAAGAGCGAAAATTTAGTCCGAATTGAAATAAAAAATTATCTATGCAATTTCCTTCCTAAATATAATAAAATTGAAAAAGAAAGAAGAAAACAAAAGAATTAGCAATTAAGAAATTATAGATACAGTAAACAATTTCAATTATCATATTTGTTTCTTTTTGGAATAGTTTTAAAGATGAATCAATATTGCTATAATTTGTTCTAATTCTTATACTTTCTAAAAAAATGAAACTTTTCTCATTGCACGTATGCATATGTAAAATCATCAGACATACACACAGTATATATGTTCGATTGTATCAAAACTAGCCAAATTTAATAACCGTTTTAAATTATTTTTTTCGGTTTGGTTATGTGCCGTACTTGCTGGTTTAATATTGTTAATATTCAATGAATTGAGGAAATTTTGCATACGACAATGGCCAACGAACTTCTTCGTAAAATTTGTTAATTTTTAAAAGGTTATTACTTGTCTTTCTCACTTTCCATTTTTTTATTTCATTTTATATCATTATTTCAATTTTTTAATATTTCCAATTCTTAGAAAATTTTTGTTATGTCAATTGAAAATTTTTTCCACAAAATAAATTTATTTGCTGAAATATGATTAAATTTTGCGAAAAATTAAATTAATTTAAAAAGTTAATTTCAAATAAAAAACAATAAAGCTGTTTGATACTGGAATTATTTTTCTTACAGCATAATTATTATCTTTGCAACAATTTTGAATTGTACATTATGATAAGAATGTAATCGATATATCTACTGGATAATTTGATTCGATGATAATTTTTGGAATATTATTCATTTGTTAATTTTTTTTTTAATTTATTAATAAAAGCAATCATTTTGCTGCAATCGTCCGTTTCAATTGTTACACCCTGTTCAACGAGAAAAATGAAAAATGGAACGATAAAAAAGTCTGAGAGATAAGAAAGAAGGCAATGAATGGAGTGAGCGAGAGAGAGAGAGAGAGAAAAGAATTGAAAAAACAGTTTGGATCACAATGTAAAAATTTAATATAAAAATTTCTTTCGTTTTGCTTATTTCCCTCCTTTTTTACATACTTCATGTTTTTTTGAGTTAACATTTGCAAAATTTCTCAAAATATACATCATTCATATTGTACTATTTTTTTCAATTCATTTTTTTAAACAAATTCTTTCTTCCAATTTTCTCTTTTATTTTTATCATCGCATTTTTCTACCTTTCATAAATTTTGGGTCCGGCATAACGATGGAAAATTTTTATCAGTCAATTAAGAAATGAAAAGAATGAAGAAAAGGAAGCAAAAAATTATTGCAAATGAAACTTAATGTGACGTCCCTTTCTTTTCCTATCAATTTTTTATGATTAAATGAAAATTTATTGTTCGAAAAGGCAAAAATTATTATTTAATTTGCAATCAAACGTTTTACTAACAAATAAATTTCTATGCTATCAGAAATTCTTTTTCCTTTCTTTTTTTTAAAAAAATTCATTTTTCCTTAAATTGTTTACTATGTTATTACTTTCATTCTATTTTTTCACTTTATTGTCGTTTGTTTTTCTGTTTTTTTTTTTTCAATTTTAAATAATACAGTGAATGAATATTTTCATGAGCAATTGGATTGAACGATCAATTTTTTTCAATTATTTATTTTGCAGATGTTAAATTGCTGAAAAATTTCATTCTTATGTACTGTTCATTGTGGACAGAATAAATAAGTGGATTAAATTTTATGTTTATAATTATGCTAATTTAATTATTGGTATTTACCAACATGTCGATCAGTCAAGAATATTTTGAGGTAGTGAAGGAAATTACTTTTCACGTATCTTACCAGTTTAACATGATAGAGTGGAAATGAATGAAGTGAAAAATTCGGAAGGATGAGAGAAATGACAAGTACAGTTCGGCATCAGTAACTTTTATCATACTTTCTTCCAATATTTACTGCTATCAACTTTGTTGATATAATTTTATCATTTAACAGTACTAGCTTAGACTACTTTTTATGCATAATATAAGCTGTTGACCTAAATCTCTTTGTTTATCTTCATTTAACTTGTTTACGTTTAAGCTGTTTACGCCATTTAGCATCCATAATCTCTTATAACCTCAATTGAAGTTTGTTTTGTGCATTGGATAATATCTTTGTTTTGTGGTTGTTAACAGAAAAAAGGAAGAAAAAAAATGATCAGATGAAATTGAAATGATTGAAAATTTTCAAATCGTCATTTCAATTTATTGCGATTAAATTATTTTTCTCATCATTTTTCTTTAACTTATTCAAAATTCATTTACTTCTGCGTTTTTTTTTAATTCTCTTATTTGCTTCACACAATTTTCCTTCTTTAAAATACTTTTTTTCGTTAATTTTAATTTCAGATAAAAGAATTTTGTAAAAATTTATTGGAAAAAAAAACACAACTTAACATAACTTGCTTAACAAAAATTCATTTATCTTTGCATTATTTCATTTCCATCCTTCCATCCTTTTCTATTTTCATTCACACAATTTTTCTTTGAGATGTATTTTTGTTCGATTTAAATTTAGAATAAGGAAAATTTTTTGTTAAATTTTACTGAATTTTATCAATTTGTTTGTTGCTTTCTTTCTTTCCTAATCATAATCCATTATTCCAATTTTTTCTTTTCATCTTCTTTATTCCTCTCATTTTTTTTCTTTATAGCTTCCATTTTCTCATTTCTTCCACTGATATTTCTTCCAGATTGAATCTGTTTAAACAACATTATCATGGCTAATCGATAATCATTGTCTGTAACTTAAAGTTTTTTGCGGTGCAATTTGCAGTTCAAAAAAATTTCTTTTAAATATTAGATTTATAAATTTCAAGATCCATGCGATCGTTGTTTCTATCAACCGTGTCCATTTGCTAAATCGATCTGTGTCAATTATTTTAAAAGTTTTTGTTGACCTTTGCTCCTCCTCATTGATGCTTACAATCCATATTAGTCACATTTTTTAATTCTTCTTCCGTTGACCAATTCAGTCCTCTCCTCCGTGGTTCAAATCCTGCTAGTTTAGTTTTAGGCCAATTCCTCGGTGTAGCCACATCTGTTAGCTTATTTTTATCCGAAATATAGTCAAATGAGAATTTAGCCGTTTTCTATTTCTTCAACACGATTTTGTGGATGAGAATGATTTTGTATTCAGTGCAGTGAGGATCCGATGACCTTTACTTTTAAGATGACCTTTACTTTTTCCAGTTTTATTTGTTTTACGACGAATTGGGGCAGATTATACTTCTCATAAGCATAGGTAATAAATAATTTCAATCCTGAAATAGTGATATCTTTAATTCGATGCTTAGCAAAGCTACGAAAAAAGACATTTCTTGGGTTATGTATACATTAGTAGCATATTCAATTGAGGAAGCATCGGTGATAACATGAACTGTAAATTGTTAATAATGGATTGATTACTTCTGCATGTGGCAGATTTCTCACGTAAACTAGCCATCCGTATAGAAGTTCTTACCATGTTATTGCTTAGTGATTGACCCCAATTGACAGTTTTTCTTGGAGAAATAATTTAATCAGTATCATAATTGATGTTAAAAATCCTAAAGAATCATATTGCGCAGTCATGAATTGCAGAATTACCGCAATTTCGTTGACTCTTAATCAAGATTACTTCAGTACGTTCGCTTTAAGATTTCATATCGAGAATCATTTTTTAGATTTGATCCATATCTATTCAATTTTGTTGAAAGGTCCTGGTGTTGAATTCTTTATTATTCTCCTATGTTTTTTCATAAAGCATCTTTAAAATTAGCTTTCATTCCTTCCCATTTTGTAAAAGCTTTGTTGGTTTCCACAGTTGATATTATGATGTTATCAACATTAAGATTCTTCGTAATTTCTACCTTTGTAACCTTTCAAATGTTGATTAAGAATAGCTGACATTAAGAAAAGAGATGATATTACTTTAATTGTCACTAACAAACGATAAATCATTTGTTATACAAATTAATCTAAATAG